TGATAAATGTACTGGCAAAAATGTTGCAGTTAAATTTGTAACTGGTAAAAAAATTTCATTTTTTTTTCCACAAATTTGCCCAATGTTTTTTGTCGAGGGAAATCCTTGTCGGGGTCTTTTGTCGTTTCGAGGTGCCCGTAATTTGGGGAGCTGAGCATCATAGCTCTCCCTAGAACTTCTGCCACTTTTTGGCCTCGGCAAGATTTAGTTTGCCGGTTATTTTCTGCATTCATATAAAGTTAAGAATTGTTAAGAATCGTCGTATTTTTTAATTAAAATTGCTTTTTAATTAAAAATTTTTGCATTTTTCTTTAAGGAGGACAACGAGCAACAAATTCACAGTTACAGCGCGAATACAATGTATATAGTGCTTTAAAGGTAAGGCAATTTGCTTTTGATTGCCCATTTTGTGTTGTTTGCTAGAAATATCATGATACTTTAGGTCGTAAAAAAAGATTAGACGGAGAACTTCTTTATATTTTCACGAAATTCCTCTCAGCTGTTATGGTATTTCGTCGTGGTTTTTAGCCTTTGTCAAGGGCATTTTTGAAACGGCTGAAATCTTTGGAGGAGAATTTCTGAGTTGAAATGGCTGAATTCCGTTTTGGTCGTCTGTGTCTACAGTTCAGGGATGAAACACAGATGTCACCCAATGCAAATACTGGCTAGCTTAAATGAGACTGTAAAATTTGGCTTCTTCGCAGAATATCAAATAAACATAGTCGACTATTCCATTCCTCTTTTCTCTTGTCGCTGTACCTTGCCAGCAGCATTGCTACACTTTCCGATACTTGATAATATTTTCAGGATTTATAACACGAACGTTAGGATCGCCATCAGCTACTTGATGACCACCAAGTGAGATGCAGCTTTGGTCAAAGAAATTGGCAAAGTTGCTCTTAGTTGAAGACTATCACTGTATTAGAGCTGATCCAGGCATCTCCTCAGCAGGTACTGTGGAATTCATCATCCAAGAAGGGTGAAATCAACATTGGTGCAGCTAACCTGCTGATGGTGATGACCTTTTCCCTCAGAAAATTGATTGTTTGATGAAGTCACAACAGCGTATAGGCGGATTCAGGACGGACTTCTGAAAAGGGGGGGAGGAGGGGAAAGAAGATGGGGGACGACACCCTGAAACTATGCAAAAACTAGGAATAGAGTTGTAACACACTGCTACTTAGAGCTAATTTAGGTTTTAGTTTACTTTATTTTTACCTTTAGGCCCGAGTTTTTGCAGCGTTGGTGGCTGTGCTGCTGGGGGAAAGACCTCTTCCTCCCCTCTCCCATCTCCTTCCCTGGATCCCCCTATGTAACAGCGATTGTTTCCTGTTCTGAATAAATTAATTACCACCGAAAAGGTTGCCCTGACAAAAGCAGTTGGAGAATCGTAACAGCCTCAGTATCTGCCGTTAGCGCAGAGAATTTCAGGGTGTTATTGGTATTCCGGAAGTTTATTGGTACGGTATCGAATTTGATTACCAGCTACTTGTTATGCAATTGCTAGGGCCATCACTTGCGCAGCTGTACAATTATTGTGATCGTTGGTTCACTGTCGAGGTAAGTTTTTTTTTCCAATTTCAGCAATTTTAATTTTTCTATTTTAACCAAATTTTCTATTTCTCAGGCAAATTTGTTTGGTTTAAATGAAGTACAATTTGGAAAAACGAAATGCCTCATCACCGATTCCTCAATTAGCAAAAGAGGGTTGTCGTTTTAATAACAAATGGGGTTTTCATAAAAGAGAACGAGCTTTTATGGCATTTTTTTATTTTTTTTATTTTATTTTTATTTTTTCACGATTTTTTAAATTTATTTATTTTTTCATTTTTTTTTTCAATTTTTTTATTTTTTTCAACTTCTTTTGCGAAAAATGTATTGTGGCCTTTTTAAATTATGCAGATGGATTAGTAAACCTATAAAACAGCTATGGTTGGTTTTGTGATTGCATTTTTTTAGGAACATCCAGGGTTCTGCGCATGCGGATTAAGTCTCCTTCGAGCTCATATTTCAGACAATAAAGAAGATAGGAGAGCAGATGCTACTGCGCCTGAGAAGCCTACATTCTAGGGGTTATGTGCACCGAGACTTGAAGCCAGAAAATTTTTTGATGGGTATTGATGAGGACGAAGAAACCTGCTATCTGATCGATTTTGGGCTTGCTCGATGTTACAGGTACACCACTGCTACTACCATTCTCCGTACTTCAGTAGCTTCTAGCTGTTTTTTAATTTTCCGCTGAATGCGTAAACTGACAGCTTGCCAGAACACTTCTCTCAGTTCCTGACTTTCAGCTAGAAAAAAGCCCTTAGTTGACCTTAAATTGCCCTTAGTTGATGTTAAGTGCCTCTCCCGCTTTTCTAACTCTCCCTCCTCCTTCTCTCACCTCACCCCGTCCTTCCCTACCGTACCTCCTCCCTCCTTACT